GGAGTGTGGTCTGGGGGAGTTGGCAGAAACACAAAATCTGTTGCGAGCCACAAGAGATAGGGAGAAGTGGAGGGCCATGATCGCCTACGTACTGAAAGGACGCGGCACATAAAAAAAGGGTTGTAATGAACTGTATTCGTGGATTGGACACATTTTACTTTTTTGTTAGGAATCACAGACAATTGATTAAATATATGGAAAGGGATTAACGAACATTTTTTTTTACGTTGTGTTGGGAGTTGTAAACATTCTGCTTAACATGTGGAGTAGTTTGCAATGAGTTGTTCTCACCATGGATTGAATACATTTCGCTTTTTGTTACGAGTGGAAGACACTTTGTTAAACATGTGGAGAAGTTTGTAATGAACTATGCACGGCGTGGACCGGATGCATCTTTTTAAAAAAAAATTCTTAGTAGTGCTGACCATCATTTAAATATGTGAAGAAGGTTGCAATAAATTGTTCTCAGCCTGGACTGAAAAATTTGTTAGGAATGTCAGTCTGTAATTATATATATTTTATTAATATTCAACCAATACAAGGCCCAAGAGCCATTCAAGGTAGAGGGCTGTTGTGTGGTGTTGTGTTAGCGTAAGTAGCAAAAAGTGAAGTTCTTGGAGATATGCAGGAAAAATAACGTTTAACAACAGAGAGGTCAAGATTTAATTAATTAAATAACATTTCGGGGGCGTTATAAAATCTGGAAATAGAGAAAGAAATGGAAACCCAATCCTAAACAGGAAACAAGAGATAAACATCTACACCTGTTCAAAAGAGTGTGAACCGGATGATAAGCAAACATATCTGCTACTATTGAGAAAGAAAAAAATAATTTATGAATAAAGTTCTGGCGTTAGTGTCAGAAGCATAGTTGAAGTAGGCTTTAGAAGGTACCGGAAACGCAATCCTAAACCGGAAACAATAAATAAATCACTACTCCTGTTAAAAAAAGAAAATGGGGAGGAGTGTTAACCGGACGCTAGGTGAACCTATCTACTCTATTGAGGAGGATAAAAAAAATAGTAAATAAAATTTCACAGATTAGGCGGAAACGTTAGGAATATGTGAAGAAGGTTGTAATGAATTGTTCTCGGCGTGGAGTGGACATCAGTTGTTTCTAACCTGTTGCAGATGAAGTGGTCCACAAACAAATTATCTCTTTGCATTCCTGAGATGAGGTATTATGTACACTATTTACATTATTCGGACTATTGTCCTCATCTTTGTCGCCATATCTATTACAACGTTTCGGCCTTTCAGTATCTGTCTATATTTCTGAGATGAGGTATTATGTACACTATTTACATTATTCGGACTATTGTCCTCATCTTTGTCGCCATATTTATTACAACGTTTCGGCCTTTCAGTATCTGTCTATATTTCTGAGATGAGGTATTATGTACACTATTTACATTATTCGGACTATTGTCCTCATCTTTGTCGCCATATTTATTACAACGTTTCGGCCTTTCAGTATCTGTCTATATTTCTGAGATGAGGTATTATGTACACTATTTACATTATTCGGACTATTGTCCTCATCTTTGTCGCCATATTTATTACAACGTTTCGGCCGTTGTACGCTTCGGCCTTCTTCAGGTGGTTGGAATGTCGAACTGAACCCTTTATTTCGCTCACTGGTGTAGACTGTTCTAGTTGCACGTGCCATGTTTAATGTCAGTTATCAACTGTTAGTTCCCCTCTCCAAGTTCTCCACTGCCTTTACCGGGTATTGAACTCATACTTTTTGGGTTCTGTCACTGGATTTAACTAACGCCTTTATGCACTGTGACATGTGTCCTTAAGGACAACTGACATCCATTAAACATGGCACGTGGAACTAGAACAGTCTACACCAGTGAGCGAAATAAAGGGTTCAGTTCGACATTCCAACCACCTGAAGAAAGGCGGAGCGTACAACGGCCGAAACGTTGTAATAAATATGGTGACAAAGATGAGGACAATAATTCGAATAATGTAAATAGTGTAAACAAAATTATTTTTAAGGATCTTAATTTCCAAGAAGAAGTTGTCCTATGGGATACCTTATACGTTTTGATAGACATTTTCTTCCCAAAAAACATTGTGAGCCAATTTTTCATGATACTTTCGTATATCGATCGGGATCTGACTGTAGAAGTTATTTAAATATTCCACACTTTGTGAAATGGAAGAGTTGCTTGAAAGAAAGATCCTTATTTCTGGTGAGACATAAACTGCAAAAAAAAAAAAAAAAAAAATAGAAAAAAATTAGAATCAAAAGGATAGATTTGGATGTGCATGCGAAGCAAGTGCTAATCTCTGCGAAATCGGGAAGTTGACTTCAACGTTTCTTACCCATCCAGCCTCCAAATGTATCTACGCACATTTTGACTCAACAAACTCTTTCCTTTATTTTTTTCTTTCTTTCTTTAAAGGTTTATTCAATCGCATAATCTCGCGTCCGTGTGTTCAATTATCTACCGATCAACATCCATAAAGAATTTTTTCAGTGATAAAAAGATGGAGAAAGAAAAAAATGTCTGCTTTCTCATGCGATAGCATTTATTTAACAAGAGAATTCTTCAGAAATGTATATGGCTGTCCGCTCGTATCAGTGAATGTCTATCTACTAGGATGTCTAGTAAATCCCTGTTGTAGATGCCTGCTCGGTCACAGTTGTGGCTTATACTGCAACAATGCTAGGCGGAGCTTAGATGCAGTTTCTGTGGGAGATTGCATAATCTGGACTGATGACCAATTTCGACAAAGCCAATATGCTCAAAACTATCAGCTCATCCCATAAGTTCTGTCCGAATTTTGAATAAAGAAAACAAGTGACCAAATGTTACATTTAATTACAGATTCAATCAACAATGTATTTTCCCTGATTATCTATGACTTCCTTCCATCTATTAACAAGCTTACTAATTCCATTACTGTAAAATTGTTTTGGCTTTGATTCGAAGAACTCACAAATGTCAGTTTTAAACTCTTCCTGTGTTACAAAAGCTGTTTCTTCCAAATGATTCTGTAAGCTACGAAACAAATGCTAGTCTGAAGGAGCAAGATCGGGAGAATAAGGTGGATGAGGAATTTTCACCCAACCAAATTCTTCGATCTTTTGTGACGTAATTCTTGCTGTGTCGGGTCGCGCATTGTCCTGATGAAACATCACCTCTTTTCGATTCACTAGAGCAGGTCTTTTTTTCTTCAAAGCTTGGTTCAAACGCTCTAATTGCTGACAGTATATTTGAGCAATAATTGTTGCATTAGGTGGTAAGAATTCAACGTGGATTATTCCTTGGAGATTCCACCAGATTGAAAGAAGAACCTTTTGCCCATGAAGTTCCCTTCTCAGCTGTGACTGGGGTCCTTCCCCTTTACCAAGCCACTGTCTATGATGCTTAACATTTCAATAAAAGATCCATTTTTCGTCGCCAGTCACAAGTCTATCCAAAAAAGGTGAAACAAGTTGGCGAGAATGGAGAGAAGAGCAGATGTCAACTCAGGATTTGAGGTTGTTTTCAGACAATTCATGAGGCACCCATTTTCCAAGTTTAGGAACTTTTCCAAGTTGTTGAAGATGACGATGAACAGTTGTATGGTTTGGACTGAGAACCACTGCCAATTCCTCAACTGATAAAGCAGGATTTTCTTCAAGGGCTGCTCCAAGAAGCTTTTCATCAAACTCAACTGGACGTCTGGTTCGATCTTCATCTTCAAGGGCGAAATCTCCACCTCTGAATTTTGCAAACCATCTTCTGCAAGTTCTTTCATTCACACATTCCTCTCCATAAACTGAGTGAATGCTTCTAGCCGCTTCAGCTGCTGAGTTTTCCTTTCTTGAACTCATAAAGCATTATGTGCCTCGAATGATTCTTGGGTACTTCCATGTTAGCAGGTTTTTAATCAAACAAAATTTAATCATATTGTTCTCTGAAATAAAATTTGATCGGTTTAAATGCATCTAAACATAAAAATAATGTTCAGCTCCATTAGACATTATAAAATACTCTTTAAATTTCGTTCATTTTAACAAAAAGTTAAAATTCGGACAGAACTTATGGGATGACCTGATAGTCAGGGTAATAGTAAAATATACGTAATTGTAGAATAAAGATGATAATAGAGCATTGATATAACATATATAGTACTATTCTACATATTTGTAAATATGACTATTATACATTGCTATCGAGATGAGTTGGTTGTTTTGTTCAGTAGCATATATACCTCTTTGGGTTACAGAACACTAACCATCAATTAAAGTTACACCACTGCTAACCATGGCTATATCATACCCGATTTGGAAAATATCAAAAAAAAAAAAAAAAAAAAAAAAATAAATATAAATCTTTATTTGAAATATTTTACATGTAGTCACTTCAAACTTTGTACATTGAATTAACATTAATAGGAACTGAAAAACATTATTTAAGTAAGAAAATCAGGTACTGAAAATTGTAATTAAAAATAGGAAAATTTGCGCTGGGTACCCATGGTTAGTGTTCTAGGGTTAAAATTACACCACTACTAACCATGGGTATATTATACCCGATTTTGAAAATATCAAAAACAAATATTAAATACAAATCTTTATTTGAAATATTTTACATGCAGGCACTTCAGACTTTGTACTTTGAGTTGACATTAATAGGAACTGAAAAACATATTATTTAAGTAAGAAAATCAGGTACGGAAAATTGTAATTAAAAATAGTAAAATTTGTGCTGGGTACTATATACTCATGGTTAGTGTTCCAGGGTTAATATCGAAATCTAAATATTTTGTACGCCATTTTATTTTTATTATATTCTTTTATATTATATTCTTAATAGTCTTAGTGATACAAATTTTGCTAATTAATCCATAGCTGGAGGGAGAAGAGATGAATTCATACCTTTACCGAAGGCTATTTGCGCGTAAGTAGATATAACAAACCCTAATGGGAATTGGAACTCGGCGCTCTGATTGACAATTCCGTGCCATTATCCAATACACCACCCGCGCATTTAAGCTCACAGCACCTGGTATTCCCAAGCAGTCACCCATCTAGGTACTGTCCAGGTTCGACGTTGCTTAACTTCGGTGATCGTACAAAAACCGGTGTTTCTACGTGATGTAGACGTAAGCCTTTCTGTCTAGGATCAGAGTGAAGAATCTGCCCAGCCCGCAACGCAATCAAGTACACTTTCTGATTTAAAATCACTATTATTTTTATTATTTGATTCGTATGAAGTCTATTATCTGTTCGGCTCTTCTAAGTTGAAATCAATTGCTCTTTTTAATCAGGAAATATGGAAGGAATTAAGAAAATTAAAGAAAGAAGAGAAAGAATAAAAAAAGAAAGAAAGAAAGGTTTTAAGGGTGAACAGGTGGGGAGGGTAGAGAAGTATAGAGATGAACACAAAGAGAACCAAGTGATATTACATTTCAGTCAGTTATGTGCCATGCGTGATACACACTCAGGCGATCATATATCTTTCGATACATGACTGACGAGGCAGATTTTTTTCCCCGCGGTCGGTTGCCATTTCTTTCTGCGGTAGACCAGTTGCCATCCAAGGCTATAGAACCCCGTCTGTCCTGCTATTTACCCATAGCTGGGCGGAGAAGAAGAAGACTCATACCTTTCCCAAGGGTATTAGCAAGTAAGTGAATTTCAGTCAGTTATGTGTCATGCGTGATACACTCTTAGGCGATTATGTATATTTCGATACATGACTGACGATCCAGATTTTTTCCCTGCAGTAGGTTGCCATTTTTATCTGCGGTTGACCTGTTGCCTTCCAAGACTATAGAACCCTATATGTCCTGCTATTTACCCATAGCTAAGAGCGAGAAGAAGAGGATTCATACCTTTCCCAAGGGTATTAGCATGTAAGTGAATGTAATAGATTCGACTGGAATTCGAACTCGGCCCTCCGGTTCCTCAATCCGAGCCGCTATCCATTACTCCACATTGACTTAGAATCTCTATTATTTTTACAGTTTGTTTCGTGTGAACGGTGCTTATGTTTTTTTTGTCTTGTTTTTCTTTCCTTTTTCTTTCTCACCTCTTAACTTTCCGAAGTAAAATCATTCTTTACTCTTTACCTTTCTTTCTTTTCTCAGTTCCCTCCAGCTTACAAGAGAGAGAGAAAAAGGACACATGTGTGGTGTAATGGATAGTGGTTCGGAATTAAAAATCTGTAGGTCCAGGTTCAAATTCTAGGCGAGTTACTTACATTCACTTAAGTGCAAGTACCCTTTGGGAAAGATATGAATTCATCTTTTCTTTTTTTTTCTGGCAGGTCATTTTTGAAACAGTTTTATTGCACTCAGTTTTAAGTTGGCTTTTCACATGATAAATAACGACACAAAATATTCTTTTCCAAATCTTTACCACTTTTTTTTGAGGAAACCAGTTTAAAGATTAAGTTTAGGTTCAAAATCGTAGCGTTAACATTTCATTCTGCTGATCAGCGAAAGCCTTATAGCACTGTGTTATATAGAAATAAAGTGTCACTGCCGGCACTTGAGTTTGAACATAGATCGCCAGTGAGCAAACACAGGGGATACCCATTATTGAATTAAGTAGATCACGTGATCATATAGGTAAACGCATAAATAGAAAGTAGCATGATATCTAATTGATATATTCTACACTATCGTCTATGACTATATCGATGACTCTTTCTCTTCTATCCTCTATCACTACACGAATTACTATTCGGTGGTTACTTTTCGAGCGAGTACTATTAGTGCGAGTGTTATTCGAAGGCGTCTGACATCAGTATTGTTCAACGGCGTTACTATAGTTGTATCTGCGATTACAAAGTCTCTATCACAACGAGCATTACGAAAGTGACAACGAGTATTCGTTGACATCACAAAAAACTATAAGAATAGAACTGGTGTCTGTGTCTAGCTAGTTTTTACTTTAACTGTATTATTTTAGAAATTAGATTTTAACTAATTTAAACTCGGATTTTGTTTCTATTTATTTATTTGTTCATTTATTGAAAGATTTTCATATCGTATATTGTTTCAGTATTAATTTAGTAAGAACATGTAATAAATTGACATAGTCCAGTCATTTAGTAATCATAAGATATTTGTAGATAATGGCGTTTTCAATGCAATATTGTGTGGGCAACATTTATTCATTTATTAATACTCTATCGTCTATTACTATATGAATCACTCTTTCTATTCTATCCTCCATCACTATTCGGATTACTATTCAGCGGTTACTATTCGAGCGAGTATTATCGAGCAAGTACTATTAGTGCGAGTGCTATTCGAAGGCGTCTGACACCAGTATTGTTCAACGGCGTTACTATAGTTGTATCTGCGATTATACAACGAGCATTACGAAAGTGACAACGAGTATTCGTTGATTTTACAAAAGGGGCAATGAGGGCTCGTTGACATCACAAAACACAGCTTTATAAAAATTATAATTTTTTTTTTAATAAGCATTTCATCCCAAGTAAGGCTGGAAGCCACTAGCACGCAAGGGGTTACATAGGATTTGGAGCGAGAGCAGATAGGAGTGATAGAGGAGAGGATGAAGAGAAGGATAGTGGGTAGATCAAGGCAACTGGAGATGTCTATTGACATGACATTTGAATAGTTGGAGATTATAGCTCTCAGGGAAACAGGAAAAGGGAAGGGAGTTCTACAGGCGAGAGGTGCGAGGTATGACGCTATTGGAGTAGAAGAGACCGCTACATTTAATAGTTTTAACAGTGAAAGGGTGAGAGCGGGATGCCAGCCTCGTAGGACGTTTGAATTCATGAAGCCTGGGAACCACCTCATCGGAGCAATTACCATGAAAGAATTTGTAAAAAAGACAGAGAGAGGCGACGGCGCGTCTGTGAGAGAGTGACTGTAGACGAGATGTCTGATCAGGGCCAAGCTTTACAAACTGTATACGGACAAGATACAGGGCACAAGAACATTATTACTAAATCATTGTGTCATCAGATAAGACCTTCATTTACTTCAAAGGGACATTATAATGAACAATTTAGCTATGATGTAATATGTTATACAATGCAGTAGTTTTAGTGTGATTTTCAATAAACAATGCAAATTTTAAAACATTTTGTCTTATAATGTGTGCCCAACAGGATTATGGTGTTATATTCACTTTTATTTTGTTTTTATTAATCATGATCTGACAAATGATCACTGCCCCAATGAGGATCGAACTCCTTACTCGGTAGTAATAGCAATGGATAATCTTAATTGTTAACGCACGTGTTTTTTTTTTTTTTTACGGATTCAACTAGTTATTTATTAATAGTCATCACTGACACACATACACACACTCTCGCGCACGCACATCTACAAAAACACGTACGCACACAGAACAGATGAACACATATATGCGCATAGGTAAAAGCGTACACGTCTACAAATATGTTTTCTTACACATATACAGCGAAACATACATATACATCAACACACACAAAGTAAAATATACACGAAAACTGAAATGCATGCACACACACGCGCGCGCACACACACACACACACAAGCTGAAAGACGTACATACACAAACACGGAAACACATATGTTTACAAATTGTGGGATATCATCCCAAATACAGTCTAAACTCTCCCTTTGAAGTTGTAAGAGCGTAATAGATAGTTGTATAACGGTCAATCCTAGAACTTGAACAGGTTAAGATTATAGTGATCGGGGAAGCATCCTGATGAGAGTTAGAGGTGGATTCAAGTTTAATACTCAATAGGAGTAAATAGGTTCGTCTATCGTTTGGTTCACACTCCTCCTTAATCTTTTGAACAGGAGAAGATGTTTATCTCCTATTCCCTGTTTAGGATTAGGTTTCCAGTTCCTTTTAAAGTCTTCTCGTTCTCCTCCACTACCAGTAAGTCCTTGCGTCTCAGTGGAATTATTACCTTGCTTGGGGTGAATTGATTAAAACAAAATCCTATTAAATATTCTATGAACCTTGAAATATTAATATTCTGTTAACCTTGAAATATTTTAAAAGGGGATCAGAATTTAACATTTGAGATTAAAACCTGTTTGTCATTCCTCTCTCATCAGAGCTCAATCGAGGCCAAAAATCTTAACCGTGGCTAAAGTCAACAACACCAGAGAACGGATGTTACATAATAAATTGTTGAACTAGCAAAATGCAACCGTCATTTCTATTACTTACTTCCCTACAATCTTCAAAAATGTAAATACAATGTCAATCGCCATCTTCTGCCTTCCAGAAGCTTGATCGTTAATTATCCTTTTCCTCACTTCTCATTACTAAAGTATTTTCATTCTCTTTCACTCCCTGTAAGCTCGTGCGTCCTAGTGGCATTATCGCCTTCCTTGGGGTGAAACGATAATATATATATATATATATATATATATATATATATATATATATGGTAAAATGAAAAAGTTTACTTGTGATGCGTTTCGTCCGTCAGCACTTCATCGGACTAAATTTGTTTTGTTGGGAAGACTACACATACGCACGACAGAGGAGTCCTGGGAATTTTAGAATTTTTTTTATCTATAGAAGATCTACCAGGAATGGTGAAATGTTTTAAGAGCCAAGGCGCAAATTTATTGTAGATGACACTGTGATTAAAACACTCTCTAGACATTTACGTCGTAGCGAATTATTTCTCTTTTGACCAGAGTAGCTTTTTTTTTTTTTATATCAAAATTCCAGTCAGTCTCGTTACGGTGGCCAACCAGCGCATTTGATGTATTGTTTTGTAAAATGTCTCTTTTGTGTTCATATAATATTTTATTAAGATTGCTTGATGTTTCTCCTATGTATTTTTGTGCCAATTATTACAGTCGATGGAGAAAACTCCTCCTTCAGGTTTTGTTATTATTTTGTTCAGTATTGACTAAGTCTTTCATTCTTTAATATTGACTAAGTCTTTTATTGTTTTGGCTACAGTAGTAACAATTTTTATGTTGAGTTTAGATAAATTCTTTTCGATTGGAGATGTTTTAGATTTAGTCGGCAGGATAATATATATTTTTTGATTCCTTGGTTTTCTCAGGAGGGGTCGTTTTTTTGCTTTGGAATATTTTATGGGCCTTTTGTTTCACATTGAATATGAAATAATTAGGGTACTGGAGGAGTTTGAAAATGTTT